CTGCGTCTGGTTTCACTTTCCTTTATTCATTTGTTTGGGCTCTGTTAGAGCACATTTTCGTTTTGGCACCATTTTTAAGGAGGTCTTATACCCATGGGTGAGCTCTAAGGAATGGCACCGCTGCAGGTAAAGATTAGAATGTGGACATATTTTAATTTGGAACAGCTGTGTGAGAAGATTAACATGGATTCAGTTGTAAAGCTGAACCTATCTGTAATCAGGTAGATTAATTCCCAAGAGGAGGACATTCCACAAAACATCCCGTGTCTCAGGTCTTTGGGGTCTTGTTCCACGGTGCCACTTATCTGCAGTCTCATTCATCAGCTCTCAGGATGCACCGGCATCGTACTGACCTGGGTTGCTCTAAAGGAGTTGTGATTTGTCTGAATGAAAAATGAATATAAACGACGCATTCAGTAAACCCAGCAAGAGGCTTGGGCAGAAAGTGGATTCATAGACATCTGCACATCTTTTTGAAGAGCTCACTAAATTTTCCTTTACAGTTTGCAATTTTAATGTCTTTTTAAATTTGTATTTTATTGTAGTAAGAATGGTGAACATGAGATTTATCCTCGACACATTTTCAGAGCAGAATCTATCATGACTGACTAGAACAAGGTTCCAGAGCAGATTTCTGGAGCACATTCACTGCACTTCACTGAAATCTGATTTCCACGGATGAGTAAATTTCCATTTCCGCCTCCTCAGCACCTGGAAGCTACCAATTCACTCTTTGATTCTATGAATTTGACTATTTTAGATACCTCGTGTAAGTGGGAAACTTATTTCTGTTCTTTCTTTCTGTGATCGCTTATTTCACTTAGTGTCTTCAAGTTTCATCCATGTTGTTGTATAACCTTGAACTTACTTCTTTTCAAGGCTGACTAGTATTTCACTGTATGTGTTCATATTGCACTTTCTTTACTTATTCAAATTTCAATGGACAGTTAGGTTGTTCCCATTTGCAGCACTCTTCAAAGTGGCCCAGAATAAACAGGGGACTGCTCTTCAAGATCCTGATTTCTGTTCTTTACTGGATTAATACTCTGAGGTAAAATTGCTGGATTCTATGGTAGCTCTAGATTTAATTCTTTCAGGAGCCTCCATATTGTTTAAAATAGCAGCCGTGCCATTTTGACTTCCCTGGAGCAGTGTACCAAGGTGAAAATTTCTCCATATCCTTCCTTCCTAAACCCTTGTCTTTAGTTTCTTTCATAAGAGCCATGTTGACATGTTGAGGTAATATCTCACTGTGGCTTTGATTTGCATTTCCCTGATGATCAGTAATGCTGAAGTATTTTTTAAAAAATATCTCTGGCCATTTGTACATCTTCTTAGGATAAATGAGTAGACAATCACTGGTCTATTTTTTTAATGGGGTTATTAATTTTATGGGGTTTTCTGTGCTATTGAGTTATTTAAGTTCCTATGTATTTTATATCTATCAATCCTTTATTAGATACATGACAGAGAGAGATACACAGAGAGAGAGAGAGAGAGAGACAGACAGACAGACAGAGACAGAGAGAGCGATAGAAAAGACAAAGCTCTTCTATCCATTAGTCTATTCCACAAAAGCCCCCATGGTTGGGGCTGGTCCATTTTGAAGCCAGGAACCAGGAACTGACGAGTGGCAGGAAACCAAGTACTTCAGCCACTACCTGTTGCTTCCCATGGTGTGCATCAACAGGAAGCTGGAATCAGAAGTGGAGTCAGAAATCAAGAACAGGCTTTCTGATATGGGATGCGGGGGTCCCAAGCAACATCTTAACTGCTGTGCCCAATATCCACTCCTAGAGTTTTCTATCCTTAAGATAATGGCATCTTCAGAGGCAATTTCATTCTGCTACTAATTTATAGTTTCATTCCACTGTGGTCATTAAAGATACTTGATACGATGTGCATCTTCTTGAACTTGTTAATGCTTGTTTTGTGAACTGATATGTGATCCACCCTGCAGAACACTGCTCCACACCTGAGAAGAAAGCCTTCTGCTTCTGAGGGGTGGAAGGCTCTGCGTTTGTCTGCTAGTTCCAGAACTTAGAGCTGCTTTATAAGTTCTGTCTTTCCTGACAGATGTTCTCTCTGGATATTCTATCAAATACTGAAAGTGGAGAATCGAAGTTTCCTACCATTATTTCATTGTTAGCTCTTCTTTCCTGAAGAGATAACATGGCAGTGTTAAAATTATTAGACTATTGGCCGGTGCCGTGGCTCACTAGGCTAATCCTCCGCCTTGCGGTGCCGGCACACCGGGTTCTAGTCCTGGTCAGGGCGCCGGATTCTGTCCTGGTTGCCCCTCTTCCAGGCCAGCTCTCTGCTGTGGTCAGGGAGTGCAGTGGAGGATGGCCCAAGTACTTGGGCCCTGCACCCCATGGGAGACCAGGATAAGTACCTGGCTCCTGCCATCGGATCAGCGCGGTGTGCCGGCTGCAGCGCGCTAGCCGAGGCGGCCATTGGAGGGTGAACCAACGGCAAAGAAAGACCTTTCTCCCTGTCTCTCTCTCCCACTGTCCACTCTGCCTGTCAAAAAAAAAAAATTATTAGACTACTTGAATAAATAATATTCCTTTCCCCTTGGCCTATTGATAATTATGAATCTGTCCTATAATAAGACTCACATTTCCAACTTTTGTTAAAAGTACTTAATTTATTTTATAATTGAATGTGTGCTTTCAGCTGGCAGCTTAAATTCCACAAACAACGGCCGGCGCCGCGGCTCACTAGGCTAATCCTCCACCTGCGGCGCCGGCACACCAGGTTCTAGTCCTGGTCGGGGCGCCGGATTCTGTCCCGGTTGCCCCTCTTCCAGGCCAGCTCTCTGCTGTGGCCAGGGAGTGCAGTGGAGGATGGCCCAAGTACTTGGGCCCTGCACCCATGGGAGACCAGGAAAAGCACCTGGCTCCTGGCTCCTGCCATCGGATCAGCGTGGTGCGCTGGCCGCAGCGCGCCGGCCGCGGTGGCCATTGGAGGGTGAACCAATGGCAAAGGAAGACCTTTCTCTCTGTCTCTCTTTCTCACTGTCCACTCTGCCTGTCCAAAAAAAAAAAAATTCCACAAACAAGACACAGGGCCAGTATTATTGCACCTTGTGTCTAGGGAGACCCCATGAGTATAGTGCAGAGTGAGGGACATGCAGGGCTCTGCACAGTGAGTTGTGGGACCTGAGGCCCAGCACATGAACAAGCCCGCAGCAGGAGCGATGTGCTGGAATGTTCCCCAGGTGTGAGGGTTTCCTTGGATTTTCAATGATGAGATGGAGTTACTCAACAAGGTGAAATGTGTACATTCTTACAATCGCGCACCTGTACTTTCACACTGCTTTTCAGTCTGATGATTTCTTCGGTAGAAACATTCATAGAATCAAACTATCACTTGAAAAGTACTGACAATTTACCAACAGCTCGGTCTGTTATTCAAATGTTACAGCATATGAATGAAGTTGACATTTTGAGATTTCATTATTGTTTATTGTCCTTGTCTAACACTTTCAAGGAACAGTGGTTTTCTACTTACTACTTATTGAATTCTTTATTTAGTGGAGGGTTAAGCTTGTGATTATAAAGTAAATTGAAAGAACAATAAGAAAAGGAGGAGGAGGACGGATGGGAGTAAGGGAGGTGGGGGGGTAGAGTGGGAAGTATCACCATTTATGCTTTTAAAATTAAACATATGAAATACATGAAATTTGTTCCCTTTATATAAATTAAAAATATTTTAAATAAATAAAATCACCAAATGTTACAACAAAAGAAAAAAAAATAACTAAGACGTGCTTTAAACTGTATGATATAGCACAAGCAGTATATTAATGAGGAAAAAGATTTGCAGTTAACTTGAAGTCATATATTGATATGTACATGTTTCAATTACTTGATCATTTTCAAATACATACAGATTAAATGAACCTGAGTGTTTTAAAGTGTTTCAAACCTTTTGTCAACTCTGTATCCCAATATGAATAGTATTTTGTCTGCCAAACCAACTTTATTAATTCATGTTTTTCTCTTTATAACACAGATAATCAACCCATGCGTGTTCCTCAAACACAAAACAACCCATCAGAACTAATGATGGGACACATCTTTCCAAGTGGTACAGTCCAATCAAAACTAAGAGAATGAGCAGTTTATCCCATAGAGGTTTTCTTGGGAACAGATGCATAATTTTAGGCAGAATTTTTGAAATAACAAGCAATAGTTTAAATTTATTGTTATATGTTATAAATGGAGCCTTGGTATTTTAATAGAACAGGTTGGGAACAATGTGAAGAGTTGGTAAGAAATTTGAATAAGCTGGTAATAAGACTCTTAAAAGAAAAAAAAAACAGCCTGAGTTTGATCAAAGCTGATATACTCCACAGTGACAACAAGTTCTCAGGGATCCCTCCCCAAGCATCCTTTTCCTGGCAGTAAAATAAGCATTAAAACAAACTCATTCCCACTCTAAAACCCTGTTCTCATAATCTCCATGGCTTGTTGCAACAGCACTCTTAACACAGTATAAAAGGATTTGGTTTCAGTCTTTTCTTGAATCAGTTTTCAAGTAAGCATGTAGTTTTTCCTGTTATAAACTCTTTTTTTGGTAAATCTACAAAATAATACATAGAGACTTTTCTGAAAACTTAGGAAATCTGAGTATTATCACAATCTTTAATAGTTACATTATGTAATATATTTATCTTGGAGAAACTGAAATTGTGCCTATTTTTTCATTGTCTTCTGATTTCATTCTTTTAAAAAATATTCCTTAAATCTGATTCTCTGTGTAAGAATCCAATAGGACTTACAGGTCCAAATATTTTGTGGTTCTGTAAATTCCATAAAAAATCCTATTTACTTTCTACTTCAGCTATTGGTGTATAATCCATGTTTCACAAGACTTTATAACTGGGGCACTAGTGTTTTCGATCAAAAATTATCCCCTCACCACCACTACCCATTATCTGTTACAAACCACCTAGATGAATATTAGAATTGAAACATAAAAATTTCACTCACTTTCTTGTCTTTATTGTATTTGGCAAATATCTCCTGGGCTCTCTCTTCTCCTCCGTCCGTGAACAACATGATAATCTTATTGCAGTTGGCTCTGGATACATTATACTGTTAAAGGAATAATAATAATCAGTACTATCATATCATCCATAATCACTGACAGTGTCTATAAAGCAATATGCAAAGAGCATGAGCAGCTTGCGAGAAACGAGTAGAACTGCCAGTTAAATAAGTTCATTCTAAGAACCTGCTGTTAGCGCAGCCCCCACCCCACCCCAACCCACCCCGCCCCGCTTCAAGGGCCTCCCCTCACAGCTCACTTCCTTGGGGTCTTTGATCCCATGTCACTCCATCAGTGAGACCTCTCCTACAAATAGCTTTTACATCGCAATCTCCCTCCAGACTGCAATCGTCAACACAGCGTTTCGGTCTCCTTAGATCCAGTCCATATTTTCTTCCTTCACTGCTGGCTCCCCCAGTGCAGTATACGCTCCACAGGGGCAGGACGTTTCATCTTTTCCTTCCAAGCTGTCTCCCTGCCTCACACATAATCATCTCTCAGTGACTCATTAATACATGGGTTTTAAACGAATCATTGGTTATGATGCCAACTGCATGTGCCTGCGATTTTATACCCCAAAGAAACAATACAAATTAAAAATGTGCATACCCTTTCATATATATTTTCAATTTATTTCTAAACATTTGTTCCCTTCGTGTTCATTCTATTTATTTGCTTTCTGTTTCCACAATGACAGCCCCTTAGGGACTCCCTAACACACGAGGCCTTTCCATTCTTTGGCCATTGCTGAAGCCTGTTCCCAGAATATCCTCCTAACCTCTCGCCTTCGCATCCTGAAAGGCTCAGCTCCAGCAATTAATCCTCCTAAACCTCAAGGGCTCCCAAAGCCTTGGACGTGAGAGATCGGTGGATTAGCACGGAAGGCCATGCAAATGAACAATTAATTTACAACACAGGACTTCTGTGAGGTCTGAAACAATGATCTTAGCCTTTCTTTGGCTGCAAAAAATGTGTTTGCTGAAATGCTGAGAATAAAAAATAAAAAATCACTGAGTTCTGAATGCTCAGCTACTTTGCAAATGTCAACTCTCTCGCTCAGTGCTGTCCAAAAGACAAAGAGTGTGAGCCTAAAATGTAATTTTAAATTTCCTCATAGTTCCCTTAGGGGGAGTAATAACAAATTATTCCTAACCATAAATTTCACTTAGCAGTCATCCAAAATGTTATCAATTCAACATGAAATCAACTTAAAAATTGTTATGATGTTATACATGATTTTTCCTTCAACGCCTTCAAACTTCTGTGTGTATTTTAATATTTGCAAACATTCTGATTCTGCACAACCACATGTCAAGGGCTTGGCACTCCCATGGGATTGTGGCTATCACGTGGGACAGCACAGTCTTGGTGTTAAAATGGCTAATATTTTTAAAGCACATGAATTCTCCTTTAGTGAACACTCATTGAAAGTCCACACTTTATCTTTTTCTTCAAAGAACATAAATCCCATTTTCTGTTGTAAAAAATAATGAAGATAACATTTTACCCTATTGATGAAAAGATTCTATATTTCATATTAGCTCACGCCTTATTGACTAGGTTGTTAGAACACTGGCAGTAAAAGCTTTCAATGAAGCGTTGTGAAAACACAAGTATTGATTAATACACCTTGGCACATTCAAGCACCATTCTTAAATTTGGACATAGCCAGTCTGAAAATTTGATTATACAAAAAGTTATATATTTATCATCAAAATACTTTTGTAAAGGATACCTGGAATCCCCTAACTAGAATCAATTCTATGATTAGTCCTTTTTATCTGCACTGACAAGCCAACAAATCAATATGTACCTAAAGGCCTGTTTTATAACAATGAGAAAGATTTTATCATAGGACATGGTTTTATTTTTTGAAATATTATAATTATGGAATTATATATATGAGGCATTATAATTATGGAATGCAAACATCCACATAAGCTAACACACTAGGTCTTGCTGATCATCTGTATACTTGTGTAAATAAAATGATAGTAAGTTTACCCAGGAGAGATAGATGTTAGGATACAGAAAACTAGAGTATGGGAAAAGCTAAAAATTATTTTGCTTTCGTCATGATTCTCACTGTGTAGCCTTCTCAGATCTCAAGGTGCAGCAAAACATATCACAACAAGTTTTACTTGCAATTGTCCAAAGAATCATGCAGTCACATACAATTAACCTAACTGGCTTTTAATCAATTAAAAGAACCTAATGTAGGGGTTGGCATTGTGGTACTACACATTAAGCCACTGCCTGCAGCACTGGCATCCCATATGGGTGCCAGTTAGAGTCCTGGCCGCTCCAGCTCCTATTCAGTTCACTGCTAATGTGCCTGGGAAAGCAGTGGAAGATGGCTCAAGTGCTTGGGCCCCTGCACCCATGTGGAAGAAGCTCCTGGCTCCTGGCTTCAGCCTGGCCCAACCCTAGCCATTGCAGCTATTTGCAGAGTGAACCAATGGATGGAAGATCATTCATACCTTCTCTCTTTCTCTTCTTCTCTATCCATAACTCTTCTTTTCAAATAAAAAAATAGTTTTTTAAAAAGAACTTAGCTTAATAAAATTATAAGAAGTAGGTTGATATATGGTATTTTAAAAATGTATTTATTTATTTGAAAGACTGAGCAAGCTTCCATTCACTGGTTCATTCCTCATATGCCTCCAACAGCCCCAGCTGAAGCCAGGAGCTGGAAACTCAGTCTAGGTCTCCCTTGTGGCTAGCAGGAGCCCAGTTACTTAGCCGGTACCATTGTCTACCAGGGTCTGTCTTGGTGGGGAGCTGGTGATGCACTGGAGCTGAGAATCAAACCCAACTACTTTGATGTAAGGATGAACATCTTCTAAGACTCATATCTCCATTCATTCTTTCCTGGGAGGGGCAGGCATTATAGTGTGGGAGGTTAGGCTGGGAGTGAGGATGCCTGCATCTGAAATCAGAGTGCCTGGGATTGAGACCAGCCTCCAGTTCTGACCCAGCTTCCTACTAATGGGTATTTTTGGGAGGCAGAAGACAATGGCTCAAGTACATAGCCCCTGTCACCTGTGTGGAGGAGCCAGATGGGGTCCCTGGTTTCTGACTTCAGTCTGGTCTAGCCCTAGGTATTGTGGGTATTTGGGGAGTGAAGTAGCAGATCAAAATCTCTCTCTCTCTCTGTCACTGTTTTTCAAATATAAATCAATGCTAAAAAATAATTAAATGAAACTTGTTGTGGGGCTAAATGATAATTCTATTTTTCATTTGTGCCACTGATCTTAAAGACAAACTTTGCAAGGACAAAGGAGGAGCAGACACCGTAGTGTGTTATAGTAAAAGAACTAGCACAAAATGCTTCAGGGTTGAGTAAGATGAGCCCACAGCATTGCGGGGAATTATTTCAGTGGAAAATTTCCATCAATAGGGCAGATGTAGAAAGTAGAACCCATGAGACATACACAACTGGCATCGCTGACAACTGTGGAGAAGTGGCAGGAGAGGCGGACAGGAGTTAAGTCGTATTTGATCAGCAGCCAGTAACGGACCTGGGAGTTAGCATGGCCTCTGCAGTGAGGCTGCCTCGGAAATAGGACTGGGGCTCGTGATCATTTCACAACTGGAACTGGGCAGGAGGGAATGCGGTCAGGCAAACCAACCACGCCGAGAAGAAGAATTACAGTGCCAACAGGTAGAAAAACTCCATTACGGACTCAAGAAAAAAAGAACTTTTATTCCCTTTTTACAAAAAATAATTTCTATGCCTTTACTAGAGAATACATATACCTTAATCAAATAGCCTGATCTCACAGTTTTGAGTTTCCAATTTTTATTAACGAAGATACATTTTTAAAAAATATACTTATTTCACCACAGATGGCTGCCCTGGAAGACGGCAACGCTGCATGTCTCTGCTGTTCGGCCTCCTTACTCGTTTACTGAATGGTGTGTATGACACAGCAGGATCTCAGATCCCAACCCACGTATCGCAGCCACACCCAACGTACTGGAGCTTCAGCTGGTTCCTATCCCGTGTTCCCTCTCTCTGGGTCCCTATGTCCCCATCCAGCTACTAGTCCAGTTCAAAGGACTTGGGGCAACCTAAGCCCCTGCCCACACCATCCAATCAGCTACCCCTGTTGCCCTCCTTAGCATCTTTCCACTTCGGTCCCCACACGGGGCCTCCGTCATGGCTTCCTCACTTAGCAGCATCATTCTCACACTACGGATTATCTGTTTGCTCCTGAGCATTTTCCAGACTGACACCGTGTGGCCTTTCCATTTACATCACGACCCACGGCCCCACACAACACTGCTTATATCCCACACCTGCTGAACCACCCACCATGCTATAAATGCATCGGGCTGTCTCCTACGTCCATGCTTCATCCACTCTGTTCTTTGCAAGGATCTTTCCTCTCTCCTCTGCTATTTCTTCAAAAACCTCATTTTCTTTTCTTTTTTTTTAAAGATTTATTTATTTATTTGAAAGGCAGAGTTACAGAGAGGCAGAGGAAGAGGTAAAAGTAGAGGCAGAGAGAGAGAGAGAGAAAGATCTTCCATCTGCTGGTTCGTTGCCCAAAATGGCCAAAGCCAGGAGCCTGTAGCTTCTTCCAGGTCTCCCACGTGGATGCAAGGCCATCTACTGCTTTCCCAGGCCATAGCAGAAAACTGGATTGCCAGGACTTGAACCGGCACCTGTATGGGATGCCGGCACTTCAGGAGGCAGGTTTACAGACTAAGCCACAGAGCTGGCCCCTAAAAGTTTCATTTTAAGCAAATGGCCACACTTCTCCTACCTTCCCTGGGCAGGTGGAGCCCCTCTCCAGGGCTGTTCTAGCACACACTGTATGGCCCGCGTGGGCATTTGCTAGGGCGCTGTGGATGAGGTGCCCATGTGTTGTTCTGGACCTTCCTGAGAGCTTTGAAGGAGTTCACAATAAAATGGAGGACACGACCATTTGGAAACACTGGCCACAGTGTCAGCAACATGCTATACCTGGGTGCAGTGCAGCCCAGTGTCTGATGGTCTTAAGTTCAGATTCTGACAGGTGGTTCAGGGCCATCCTCACCAGGAAGGAATTTCCACTCTGGGGACTTGTCTTCCTGTTCACCTTAATACCTACCACATGCAGGCTGGCGCTATGGCATAGTAGGCATTATGCCTTTGCCTACAGAGTCAGCAAACCACATTAAAGCTGGTTCATGTCCTGGCTGCTCCTCTCCTGATGCAGCTCTGTGCCAATGGCCTGGAAAAGCAGTGGAAGACGGTCCAAATGCTTGGGCCCCTGCACCCATGTGAGAGACCCAGAAGAAGCTCCTGGCTTTGGATAGGCCTAGCTCCAGCAGTTGCAGCTATCTGGGGAGTGAACCAGTATAAGATCTCTCTCTTTGTCTCTCCCTCTCTGTTTGTAACTGCCTCTCAAATAAGTAAATGAATCTTTAACAAATTATATTTACCATTTGGACCTTTCTGTATATAAAGACCCAAACTGGAAGTTTAATTCTCAAATATTTCCAGAAACTAACTGGTGACTGACAGCACAAGTTTCCAGAAATATTACAATATAAATATTGTAGTAACTGAGATAAGAAAAAGCAATGACATTCTATATAGGTCAACTAACTCTCTGGGGCTCATTTGAAATCAAATGATTAGCTGATGCACAATTTTAAGACAGTTTTCAAAAATTAAGGAAATAAAAGATCTGAAAGAAAATTTACATTCTGTATAACATTTGAATTTTGGATTTAAAATTTTAAAAATTTAAATTTAAAAATTTCAAGAAAGACATCTACTTCCTAGACAAACCTTTTTCTTTTTTCCTAAGGAAATTAAAAACAGTCCTAGACAGTAGTATCTACCGGGATATTGAAATTCAATAATGAACCAAAAAAAAAAAAAAAGCACAGAACTGATACTTACATTAAGCAGCTGCTCAAAAGCAAAACTAAAGCCCTTCTTATAATCTGTGATTCCTTTTGCTGTGATATTATTCACTGCATCTTTCAACACTTTCTTATTTCTTACATTTGCTTGGACAAGGTGCTGAAAGCAGCTTACATCCTGAGCATTGCTGTTAAACTGCAAGAGATTAAAAAAAAAAGAAGATATGTAAGTGAACATGAAAATCAGCCAGCACGTTTTCATTGATTGTGCTTTATACTTTTCAATCCCACTGCATTGCCTTCTCTTTTAAGACAAGTGAGCAGATGGATAAAAAAGGTGCATGGAAGACCAAGTGGTAACCTTCTCCTATGTCTCTAACCCATCCAGTATCTGAGCCTGTCCCTTGCATTCTTAAAGTCTGGTTTCCTTCTTCATAAACTCAAGATGTGAGTTACATAAGGTGCCTGCCTTCCAGTTCTTAAATGCGATGAGCATGCAGACAAAAATCCAAAAGCAATGAAATAGATTTAGAATCCAGAAATAATATGAGAGGCCTGCCCAGGATTCAGGAAGAAGTTGAACATTTTCATTGCCTCTCCTCAAGAAAGACTGGTTGGAAAAAATAGTATACTGAATGACAAGGAGAGATGTTTAGACATTTTGATGGCTGAGTCTTTCCTTGGGTGCTAACACGGAAAAGCAACCTTTGCTCGACCTTACAGAGGATCACTCCAGAGACTGCAAAGAATGCAGGTAGCCACGCACACACAGCTCACTGAGTTCTTGCCACCAGTGACTAGGCTATGGGAGGAGAGAGCTACACTCCAAGACATCTGCCCCTAAACGAGTAATTTCACCAACTCCATAAAGAGTATTCACTCTGTAAGTTATAAAGTAATTCATTGATTATTTCAGAAAAGATAAGAATAGAAGTACTGCGAATCAATTCAGGATACTAAAATGAGTATGACCAACTCACCATGGATGGACTCTGTCATTTGTCTAAGTTCCTTGTCTAGACTGCCGTATCAGTAAAATGGGAATAGTAATAATAAAGATAAAAACTTGCAGAGGACTGGCCAAATAAAATGTTGAAGATACTCTCAGATCAAAAACACATAATTCAATGATTTTTATGGGTTAATCACAAGTGAATCCATATTCTTAGCAATATAATGCATTATTCTTTTTTTCTCTGAAGATCACAAAGCTTAATTCTAAGATTCCCTGCACAACTCATCAATCTATTAAGTGAACATGTAGTAGCAGCCTTTTGTATGCCAAGAATCTGGCAGGTGACAAGTTTATGCTTCCAGACATGAAGTAAAATATTCATGCATACACAGGGGTACTCACATATGCCACATACAAGGGGACTTCAAAAAGTTCATGGAAAATTGAATGAGAAGGTAATACCTACGTTTTATGGATTTTCTCGTGCCTCCTGGTGTGTGTGTTTGGGAGTAAATACTGATATGGTTCTTGCTATGTGCTGAGTTTACTACATACTTTACAAACATTCATCATTTCCTCTTTGAAATGTTGCGTAAAACAATCATGATCACTATCCTTATTTTACCCTCAGGCACACTGAGACACAGAGAGGTCACATAACTTGTCCCCAGTCACAAGGCTAATGAAAGACAGAGGCTCAGGGTCCAAAGCTGCACTGTGGCGCAGAGCCCGTGGCTGTAGTTGCCCCCACATTGTTCCCAGTATGGTATGACAATCTATGATTCACTCGACATAAAGCAATGTGAAATTGTGCTCCAGACCACACTCTCAGAGGAGAGGTTCTAACTCACACGCTGAGCATTTGGGGAAATTCTCCTGAGAAATGGCATTTCCTGTGTGGATTCAGAGAAATGACCCAGAGAAAGACACAGAAAGAAGAGCCCAGGCAAATGACCTGTGCAAAGGCCCTGGTGGGTATATGCTGGAGAAGAGGAAGTCTTTCAAGGAGATCAAGAGCGCCATTCAATTGCATATGAGGACAAATAAAACAAAATGAGTTGAGAGACAGAGCCCAGAGCGAGAGAGCATGAGAGAGGAGCTAAATCACACCAGGTGTATGGGAAATGCCGAGGAAGTAGCATTTTTGCTGTTGACTGGAAAGTCATTCAAGATTTTAAGCCAAATGCAAGATGATTTAATCTAAAACTATAAGTGTCCCCCCTAACTGCTATGTGGGAAATGGATTTAAAGTGAGCAAAATTCAGAGGAGGAAGACCATTAGGAAGCTGGTTGAAAATACACTGAATGCGGTGTGAATCACTGAGTGACAAGGGACTAGGTGGTGGGCAGCGCATCAGATTAGCCCCCTTTCTGCCTTGCCTGTTTGAGCATCAGTACAATTTAAAATGGTTGGTGGCTGAGGCTGTGAGGGACTCTGGAAAGGCCAAGACAAGATGCTCTCTGGGGAAGCCAGCCATATTCACCCACACCTGAGATCTACGACGTCCAGCTGTGGACGCGTGGGCACAACCGCCGCTGTGCCAGCACAGCCATGCTGGAGCACCAGCCCGCAAGGGCACTTAAACCGGCAGAAAGTACAGCCGAAGACTGAAAGGTCAAGGGCACTGTCACACTCACCCCTGGTCACTCCCGACTTGCTGTGTGTGGAGATGCAGCACTGGACCATGTTCACGGGAGGTGGGTCATCCACCCCCCACACCCCCACCCAAAGCTGTGATGATAAGAAAGGCAACGAAGGCGGGCTGAAGGATGTCTGGCTTCTTTGTTTCCTCGGGACTCCAACCACTCAACCAACAGGGCAGTGTTGGGGATTCCAGTAGACTGTGTCTCTGTCAAAAACACAGTTCTGCCTTGCTTTCCAACCAACCATGTTTCTGCATTGGAGTCTTAGCTATGTCTAAGTGTAATGGTGGCTTCAAACAAGCTATTCTTCTGAAGTACGAGAGAGAGAGGCGGGGAGGGGGGGAATCTTTCATTTACTGGTTCACTCCCGAAATGGCTGCAATGACCAGAGCTCAGCCAGGCCAAAACCAGGAGCCAGGAACTCCATCTGGGTCTCTCACATGAGTGGCAGAGACCCAAGAACTTGGGTTATCCTCCAATTCCTTCCCATGCATATTAGCAGGGAGCTGTATCGGAATCAGAACAGCCAGGACTCAAACTGATGCCCATATAGGATGCTGGTACCATAAGCGGTGGCTCAATCCACTGTGCTACAATGCCAACCTGAGTTGAGTTTTTAAAAAACTGTTTGGATTTTAATTGTGATGCAGAAGTTACAGCACCATTTGGTTTTGCACAGACAATATTTCCACTAAGATGGATAAGTTTATATTTTGAACTAGAGAATATAGGGAAAAAGAAAAGAGAGAGGAAGAAAAGAGAGAGGGAGGGAGGGAGAGAGGGAGAAAGAGACAGCAAGAGAGAGACAATATATAGGAGCATATTTCAAAAAAGTCATGGAAATGGAATTTAAAAATGTTTATATAAGGACTATTCAAAAATGCATGAAAATGGCATATTATGGGACTGGCACTAGCCCAGTGTTTAACCAACCAGCTATGATGCCTGCGTCTCATCTTCATACCTGGCTACAGCTCCCAACTCCAGCTTCCTGCTAATGTGGACTCCGGAAGCAGCAGCAACGGCCCAAAGAGTTGAGTTCCTGACACACACATGGCAGACCTGGATTGACTTTGTGGCTCTAGCTTCACCCTTCCCTCACCCAGGCTGTTGTGGACATTTGGAGAGTGAACCAGCAGACGGGATAGATCTAGCTCATACTCTCTAATAAATCATTTTAAAATAAATATTATGAAAAATTTGTGCATGTATTTCAAGGTTTTTTTTTTTTTACACCAAGATAAACTTATCTTTTAATTTCATTTTTTCATACACATTCTGAAGCACCTGGGTAGTGGCTTTGTTATTCGTGGGGATGGCCAGAAAAGGGAGGATTCAAGACATGTTTTTGAGAAAGAAACAATAAGGTGCAGAGATGGACTTACTATGTGACTGAGTAACACAGTAGGTATCTTGAATAACTGCCAGGCATCTGCCATGGGTACCGGGGTGGCTGGAGGACTTGGGGAATGCCTGATTTCTGGAATATTCAGGAATAGGGAAGAGAGAGTTCAGCTGAGGGTAAGATTTCAATATATTCAGGATACACAAGTGGAGATGTCAACAAAAGATGACATTTCAAGTGTGAATCTCAAAAGAGGTTTTGATGGAAGGTTTAAAAGCAGAACAGAAATCTTCACCCTGGAAATCTGGTTGAAAGTCATGTGGATTAAAGGTGGAGTAGGCAGCGGTACAGGAGAAAACCAAGTAAAGGGCACGTTCCTGTGGAGATGGGAGGGGAAGCAGGGGACTGGACTATACAGGATGATGAGAGGGGGAAGTGTCTCAGGGGACAGACAGGGTATCTCAGAGACGGAAACTGAGGACTAAACTCTGCCCACCTAACTCATATACATTACACAGGCTGGGTGGCTAAGCCATCACTCGTGATGCTGGAATCCATATGGGAGTGCCAGGTGGAGTCCCAGCTGCTCCACTTCTAAACCAGCTCCCTGTGAATGCACCTGGGAAGGCAGCAGATGCCCCAGGTACTTGGGTCCCTGCCAGATGGAGTCCCCGGTTCCTAGCTTTGGTCTACCCAAGCCCTGGCTGCTGTGGCCATTTTAGGAGTGAACCAGTTGCTAGGAGATCTCCTTCTCTTTCCCTTTCTCTTTGTTGTTCTACTTTCAAATAAATAAGCACACACACACACACGAACATAGAAGGGAGGTGACAGAAGGTCTGTAGAGAATGGAGACAAACAGTACATAAAGTATACGGCACAGACATAAAGTATTGTGCATGCAGGTGTAAAGTGTCAAGACAGTTTACAAGTTTACAGGACAAGACCTGTCTCATTTTTAGTTTGAGCTCCACTTTCAGGCATTTCTCATGAATGAGAAAGTCCCAACATACTTATTGACTGATTTCTATACATTCGAATGTTAAAAAGTTAACTTGCCCGCGTCTAAATGAACAGTGCCACTGCCTGTTTCATCACTTTCCCCTTCTTTGAGAATTTGATATAACCTTCTTGTACATGCTCCATTTTGAAACTACAATGTGAATTCCCCTGAAAGTTACAGAAAATAGGTGTCCAATATATGAATAGTATAATATCTGACGTTAGTAGAAATGCTTACAAGGGATTTTACTTG